TAAAGATAGAATGAAATATGAAGATGCTGTGAGGTTCAGAAGGCAAAGCAGAGTGGAATTCAACTTTTGTATTTAACAAAGTGTGGTCCTAAAGTAGACACCAGTAGTCATAGAAACTGTTAGGGCCAATAAAACTAGCATGTCTGATGCCACTGCCTTGGAAAGGGAATTTAAGACAGATTTAAGATTATTATGCATACAGTTTTAATGGCGAAACGTTCAATTAAGTTTCCATATGTATATTTATAAGTAGATTTACCAGTCTTCAAACCTGACAGAATCGCAGTTTCCATGTTTGAATGATAGTAAACTTGTTACAAAAAATCAGTGAAACATGCTTGCTATGTGGCGTTACAGTTTATATCTAGATGTTGCCTCCTGGCCTCATGCAGGTGGAGCTTTGTGGAGGTGATTGGATCATGGGTTCATGACACACATTAGTAGGGAAGCCTGGTTGGAGGAGGTGGGGCACTAGGGGCATTGCTCAGAAGAATGTACATATATTTCCATCCCTCCACTCTTGATTTCTCTGCTGCCTGCCACCATGCCATGAGCTATTTCTCCTTTACCATGTCCCTCTGCCATGTCACCCTGCCATGGAGTCAGCTGACTGTGGCTGAAACCTTTATAAATTGTGAACCAAAATAAATCTTTCCTTCTTGGAACTATGCATGTTGTGTCTCAGTGATGAGAAGGTAACTAAGATGGCATCATTTAAATTAAGCTTACTATTTGTATCAACTAACTTTTCCTATACTCATGCAGTATCAATTTGTCTTCTTCAAATCCATTCCCATGCTAGAATCTTGCCAATGTATAAGAAAGGTAGGGAGACTGAGTGCTACAGTACTCAGCACCATCCCTGTACGTTTTCATGGTCATACAGAGTTAAAATCCCAAGAACTGGGAACAATCCTGGGTTAGACCTGTGGTTTATTTCCTCAGCCATTTCAAACTCTGGTACTAGGCATTGTATAGCTATTTGCCTGCTATTTTATATCTTCCACATTTGAAACAGTATACATCAGATTTGTGTAAACTTTGGTTTTATTGGATTTTGTCCAAGCCTTATGATGATTCCTTAATGTCTTTCTATAAATTTCATTTTGTGCTATGAAAGCTTCCATTTTGAAAATCACAAACCATAGTAGAAAAGTTCATGTAAAGTCCGCATTGTACAGAAGCACATTATCTTTAATGTCTCCAGACAAAAAAGTCTTAAAGTTAATTTAATGTTTGCACTCTAGGGTGCAACTTGAAAGAGAGGGCCTGAAGAAAGATTCAGAGTGAGCTATTATTTTTAGCAAAATGAGTCTGCCTTCTGCAGGACATAGGCACTTTAATTTCATAAATATTTTTTAAGGTAGATAAGCTTTGTGGTTGTACCCAATATAATTCTAATTTTTAAAAATCCTATAATTTTTTCTATGTTTATTGGAAGCTGCTTACCAGCTATTTTTATTAGAAGTGTGATTACCTCTTGAAAATAAAGTGGGTTTCTGTTAATGAATTGAGAAGATATGTATTTTATATGCCTACTGAGCTGAGTAACTTAAATTTTGCATATTTCATAATTTGTTCTATTATGTAACTGATAAAATGGTGATATATATTGATGTTAGTTCAACTACATGTGTATATTACCTGAATTGTGTTTACATGTGATGTAAGCAATAATTTGTGAGTGTCCATCAGCTTATAAAAGCATACTAAACATCTGAGGAAATAATGAAATACAACTAAAAAAAAGTAAAAGAAGTATTCAGGGTAAACACTAAGTACATGGAAATGTAATATATGACTTCTAAGCTAGGAGACAGAAGATGGTGAATTTTAAATTCAGTTTGAATGGAGGTAAGAGAAAGGTAAAGGATGATAAGATATTTGAATACAAAATTAGGCTGATGGCAGTTCCAAACAGACTAGGTCTCACAAACTATAAATGAACTTTCTTCTTACAACACAGAGGTTGTTTAATTGGATCAAAACTAAGCCAAGATAAATAATATTTATGAAAGAGGAAACTTAAAAGTCAAGTGTATGTAATAGACAACTTTCTTGATGTTGCACACCCACAGTTTAAAAAAGGCAGAGAGGTTCAATTTGGCTCACATTTTAAGGAGGTCCATCGTCATTTAAGGAGGTCCATGGTCAGCTGCTCCATGACAAGAAGGATGTGGTGAAGCAGAGATGTTTAGTTCTTGGCAGCTGAGAAGCAGAACAGGGGAGCAGTACCAAATATAGTTCCCAAGGTTCCTCCCCCGCAACTTGCCCAGACACACCCAGGGATGTGCTCCACCAATCTGGCTCCCAAGCCAATAAGGTTGATATAACCACTTTCAATCATTATAGTATATAAAGCTTTAAAAGTGGACAGATGATAAAAGGTCATTAAGTTAATGTGAGGGAAAAAATGAACATTAGCTTAGTTGTGTTAGAGATAGAAAACATCACAGTGTAAAGTTTAAAGACTCATATCACAAAGGTATAATTGCCCAGCCTAACAACATATAAAACAAAAATTGTTAGACTTTCCGTTGAAGTCAAGAATGTACCATCACAATGGGAGACTGAGAACAATACACACTAAAAATCTGATAAGGAACACCCAAGGCTTCAGATAAAACTTCTAATTAGGATATTATACATGGATTCCCAAAAGTGTCATACCTCACCCAATTTAAATGGATACAAAAAGTAGTTCTAACAGTGACAAAGACTGTCATGTTAAAAATGCCTGGAGAACACTGGAATGAAATTCTTAAAAGTGCAAGTGAGGAAATAGAATTTCTAAACTAAAATTGTATATAATAATTTAATTATTTTGTGTAAATTGAACATAACAATTAAGAGCATGGTTATTTTATAAGCATTAAAATTTAGCCAATTGGACTAAATTACATTGGTGAATCTACTATATGTAAGCATACATATTACATCTAAATATTATCAACAATCTGTTGCAAAAACAATGATACAATTATAAATGTTTATAGGTCTTCAAAGCAGTGGTTCATATATGATTCATTGTTGGAAGAACTGCAAACACAGGTGATTCATCATTCTTGTTCAGTAGATGAGAAAGCTAAGATCAAAAATAATGTGTGTGGTTTGGTATTTCATGTGTTCTAAAGTAATGAATTTAGTGTTTAGTACTCGTACCCCAAGTGTTCAATCAACTTCTTACACACATTCACTATAACAGTTTTGCTGCTTAACAATATCTCTTGTTCTTTTTTTTTTTTTTTTTTTTTTTTTTGTTCTTGAAATAGATCGCAGGACCTCATGATTACTTGCCAGGCAGGCATGGCGCTGCTGAGCTATATCCTCAGCTCTCTTGTTCCTTTTAATTAATATATGTTTGACTTTTAAAAAAATTTTTCCAGGCCCCAAATTTAGATCTAGCTCCAATCTAGCACTATTTTACTGTGTCAAATCTATATAAAATTGTGTAAGTGTGCTGCTCATCAAGATTATATGTAAACTGTACATGCAATATAAGTCCATTCTTACCATGAAATCTATCTTAAACTTTGTATATGAGTTTTTTAAAATGAGAACGAGAAGTTTAATAGCTTCAAGAAAGTCTTGGGAAAAGGAAGAGGGAATTTGAGTGGTAGTAGCACTGTGAAGAATTTTAAGAATGTTTCCTTTCACAGGGACGAATCTTTCTTTACTAGGCAGAGTCATTTAAAGCCAATCTCTTCATCCATTTGTAAGCAAAACGAAACAAACAAAAAACAACACTGTAGCAAACTAATCACTGAACCAGACTGTGAGACCTTTACTATGAAAACAAAAAGGTCACTTAGTGTGGAGCTGTGCAATACTTCTTTTCTCCCCTTCTCTATCAATTCTTTACCTGCTTTCCTCTTCCTCATTCCTGACTCCCCCACCACATAACAATTTAAAATCAATCCTAAAAAGATGGGTTCTAGCTAATTATGTGTGCTGTGGCTTTAAGGCTTTTTTTTTTTTTTTTTTTTTTAAATCCTAGGTGAAGTAACTTTCCTCCAGTCCCTTCAATCTGCCCCGGAGAGTCACTGTGTACATTGTGTTGTATTCTAGAAATTCAGAGTCTCAGAACTAGAAACCCAGAAAGAGCACGGTTTGCTAATTCAGCAAGCCATGTTCACCACTGCCTCTTGTGTACTTCCCGTCTGTATTAAATCCAGACTGTTACTGGACTATAGTGTGAGAAATTCCCAGGGAAGGTGTCTGACACATTCAACTATCCATAAATGGTAGCCATTCTCAGTAATGCCCTTATTATCAGTTTTATGTTATTTATCAGTATTTGATTGCTGGTAACAGAAATAAAAATTCCATGAAAAACAAGGCTAGACCGGACTGCCAACTATTTGAAAGCTTATACCACATAAAAGACTTTACTTCTATCCTTTTTTTGATAATCTTGAGACACATATTTTCTATCTACCGTTGTTTTAAAGGTCATCTTGAATTGATTCAGTCCCATATCATTTAAACATGTCCCCTTTTGTTAAGCTGTAGGTTAATATTACGATAGTTGATATTTGGCAGTGCACTTGTTTCAGTAATTCTGTATTCAGTGCAAGAAAATATAAATTGTTGGAAAGAAATTTTAGTAACTAGGGAATTTAATAGCAGTTGCATTTTAATTTTTCCTTATTATTTGGTACTAATGTACTATGACTGTATCCAGATATATATATAATACATAGATTCTATGAACAACAATTTAATAAATTGTCTTTTGAAATATTTTACTCTAGACTTAGTTTTGTCCATTCTGAAAGTATCAACCCTTTGCTTATAGTAGAAATATGTTAAATCAGTGTAGTAAGGTATCTAGAGTAAAAGTCAATTTGGAGTAACGGTCTAGGAATCAGTGAATTCTGCTTGTTTTTTTCAGCAGGTAATTTAGGTTTCCTGACCAGGAATAAATTGAAATACAGAAAAATTGTGCAGTGATTTTTCTCCTTTGGTTTGATTTGTCTCTATTTTGTTTGTGTTCTTAGGCTCAGCTATGTGAATCATGCAGAGGATCTAGCCTCCAAGCTCCTACAGTGTTCCCCAAAGAACAGACTGTCTGCACAGGCCGCCCTGAGCCACGAGTATTTCAGTGACCTGCCCCCGCGGCTATGGGAGCTGACTGATAGTGAGTATGACACCTCTGCAGTGTGCAACCAAGGCACTTTGCCATCTGTGTACAAGATGAGTAAGATGCTGTATGTGTGTATGCATTACGTGTGTGTGTGTGTGTGGAGAGAGAGAGTGTGTGTGCTTGTGTGAGAGAACTGGAGGGTGATCATGTGTATATATTTAGTGGAATCCTGCCATTCAGTCGCTAGCTTACCAGACACGGGGAGAAAATGGATTCCTCTTTTGCTATCTCTGCTCTGCAGTCTGCAGCTGCATGTCTTTGTATTTGATTATGTGTCCAAAAACTGATCTGAGTGGTCATAAAGGAAAAGGAAAATATGATTTACATATTTACTACTTTATGCATGCAGTACTATTTTAACTGGCTGCAGTACACAGAGGAGAAATGATTTATTCCTGTTTGATTCTCAGAGACCATTTTGGTTGTAACAATAACCTTAAAAAGGTCTGCTATGCAGCGAGCTGAAGAACAGAGTTGGCCATTGGCTAATGCACTGAATTGACATGTAAGAACCAAAGACATGTAATTCATTTTAACTACATGAGCTCTTGGTATTTTTACAGACATCTCTTCTCCATGTCTTTTAAAACAAAGCACATTCCTGGGTGGATTTTTGTTTTGTTTTTTTACAAAAGTATTCGTATTTACACAGGCTTTTTCAATTACATTTAAAATATTTGGAGGAGGATTTATGGCTAGGAGGATCTAAGCTTTTTTTCCCAAGTGTGAAACAGAATTCTTGTGAAATTTTTCAAAATACTATTGCAGTGGAAATATTTTTATTCAATACTGAAACATTCTTCCCAAATGCCCATTAGAGATATTTTGTCTCATATACTTTTCTAGTAGCCTGAAAAACAACACAGTCCATATAGGCATAAGTATTTACAATATATTTATCAATCCTTGTACATCATTAATAGTAAACAGTGTTATTTCTTTTATCTCTATGATCTTAAAATTTTTCCATTCCATTGCAATGTTGAATTTACCTTAACAGCAATAACCCTTTGTTTTAGAACTAAATCTCAAATCATGGCTCTTGAATATCCCTACCTGCAATCTTTTTTGATACCTCACACTTATATTTGACTACTTTTTTGCTCTGAAGTGACTATAGTTATATTAACCTATTAGTTTGTATGTTTAGCAAATTCTTACTAAACTTTTCACATATCCCTTGTTCATATTTACTCTATGTATTGTCACGCTTCCTTTCTGAATGTCTACTCACTGATTTTTATGTAATTTCCCCAATTTTTGAAAAATATAAAGCAAAATGTCTATGAATTGGTGACTTGTCTTCCTATCCTGAAAAAAAAAAAAAAATAGGCTAATTAGTTGATGGTTCATGATGTGCAAACCTGTGATTTGTTTTCCCTGTGTAGCGTAAGTTATAACTTGCTATCGACTCTCTTTGCTGACATCTCAATCCCATCTGACTTGATGATTGAGTTTAAGCCAGGATTTTGATGGTCTATGGATTCTGAATTCTGTAGTAGTACTTTTCTGTTAATATGGACTTATTACTCACTTGCCACTTAGTTTATCAGCCAGTGGTTAAATCCAGTTTCTATCAGTGGGTAAATGCCTCCACATTATCACTCGGCAGCAGGCTGCCAGCAGAGACTGCCTTGTCCCCGTCATTAACAAGCACAATGTATGCAGAACACCAGAGGGGAATTAAAACCACAAAAAATACCTCAGGGTGGTATTTTTAATATGAGAATTTAATTTGTAATTTCACAGATTAAGAATTTTGGCTGCATTAATCCCTTTATCAGCTCACAGCAGGCTATTTGCAGAAGCATAACCATAAGGCGATATTCATTGGCAGAAACACGTCTTTGCATAACGTTAAACATCAGGAGCAGTGAAACCTTTTGAAGGGGGGAGAATAAAGATGAAAAATCATTATATTTTTAAAGCAAGATTCTACTAAATGCCTCCAGTAACAATTTTGAGTTACAGAAATGCTATTTCTGTGTCTTGAAGATAATCATTATGAAGCATAAATCCAGTCACAAGAAAGGACAATCCCAGTATTAAATACTATAGTCATTTCCATTTACAACAACCAGCGTGGCTATATTTGTAAACATGTTTACAAAACAAAGAATTCCCAGACTCCAGAGAGTTTGGAAATTTATTCCTTTGAGTGAAATGACTGGTTTTGGTGACTCTGTTGTCTGGGCTAATATTTTACAGACTATATTTAGAGATCCTTAAAATTTTTAAATTTAAATTTCATGTTAGCATACAGTCTTGTAAAAGTTCACTGCCAAATGGTAGCAGCAGCACAACTCTGACATGCTTCCCTTTCGAGGGGCTTTGGAAGGAGGTCCTCCTGGGAAGAAGCATTGCAGAACCAATAAACCCAGCTTCTGACTCCCCAGTTAGGAACCTTACCACCTTAGTCTACACAGATGCTATGATAAAACACCTGAGAGTGGCTTAAACAATAGCGCTCATTCCTCACAGTTGGAGGCATGGGGAGAAAGTCCCCGATGAGGGTGTCAGCAGATCTAGGTGCTGGTGAAGGTTTCTCCTGGTTGGCATAGAACCACCTCACGGTGTCCTTACCGGTAGAGAAAGCATTTGTCTCTTGCTGTCCTCAAAAAGCAACTCATCCATCCCATTGTGAAGGTTTAATTCTTTGACCTCATCCAACCTTTATCACCTCCCAGTGGCCTCAGTTCCAAATATCAACGCATTAGGGTTTAGGACATGAACTGTAAATTGGGTGCAGGATCATAATTGAGTCTATTGTACTCTCATTCCCTAAAATCTCTCATAATATTTTTTTAAAGACCATCCACAGCAGCCAAGTATATACATAGGCTAGAAGTGAGACTGGGTTAAAAGGAGACCAGGAGCCAAAATAAGTGACTAGTGGGCTCTAGTCTCATTGGCTGGCTCTGCTCTGCCACACCCTGTGTGATGAGCCTCTGTGTTGTTGGAGCCTAGAACATGTGCAACACTGCAGCCATTCCATAGGTTAGTATAAAAATGAGGTGGTAGATGAGGTGTGGTGCTGCATACCTGTGATCCCGGCACTCCGGAGGCTGACGCAAGAGGATTGCTGTGAGTTTGAGGACAGCTTGGGCTACATACTGAGTTCAAGGACAGCCTGAGCTATATAATGAGACATCTCAGAAAGCCAGAGACCTAAAGAGAGAAGGAGGGAGGAAGGGAGGGAGCGGGACTGAGAGAGGAGGGGGGAGATGAGAGAGAAAGCTCAAGTGAGAGAGGTGATAGGCTTATGCTATACTATCATACTGTCATTTGCTTTGGAATAATATGTAACAGTATATCGTTCATATTTGGTATACCATGAAACTTTATCTGGTTACTGTTTTAAGTAAAACTTAGTTTCTTCATCAGTTTAGCTGGTGTCTGCTGTCCCCAGCAGTCACCAGAGGCTCAGACCAAAGAACATTTGCAGAGATTTACCTGCACTCTGCAGCGCCTCAGGGTAGGGAGCAGGTCAGGGGTGTAGCTCCAGTGACATAACCATGGTGTGAAATATTAGCCATGTCCTGAGGGGGACATAGCATGCCTAAGGCCACACATACAGGGACCAAGGAGCACAGGCCGAAGGAGAGAAACCCAGGAGCCAGTGCTTTTATAAAATCCAGGGGTTCATCCAAACAGATTTCCCTTGCTGATTTAAGCAAGCAGACTGGCATCCTCAGGGGTCACTTCGTGACTGCAGAATATCCACACAGTGTACAGTGTGTGAAAGTCCATGGAGTCAGGCAAGCAAGCTGCCTCTCTCGATGTCTCATAGATAAATTGTCACCAATAAGCTGCAGTACAAGGCAGATATTTGAATGGACCAGACTGAGGAACAGGTGTGTGTGTGGGCGGCAGGGTGTGTGTGTGGTGGGGGGGGGGGCACTGGAAACTCTCAAGGGTAACTGCTCTGCTTTTGGTATGAGAAAATCCAGCTTATGTTGAAAATCAATGTGGAAGCACATTAAAACTGTAAGCATTTGTTAGTTACATAATACCAAAATTTAGAAGTGTTGTTTCAGTGGGTCATCGAACAAGAGCTTATAAAAGCGTCAAGCACAAAAAATAATGCAGTTCTCTGGATATCTGACACTTAAAGTTGTCTGATTCTGGTGACACCCTTTCCTGAAACCCCAACAGCCTTGCCCCACTTTTTCACCAAAATTTAGTTGCAGAGAAGCAAGGGGAAGGCTGAGTTCGAAGAAATTCATTACTCTTCCCAAATATACCACAGAGCCCTCTCCTGTGTATACTATCAAGTCCCATTAATAACTGAAGCTGAACTACCCTTGTCAAAGTAAATGAACAAAATACACTTCATAGCAGAGTCCTTGATTTTATTACATTCATTTGCTAATTCACAAAACTCCGATCCAGTGAATACAGACCACAGTGTGAAAAGTGCTGCGCTGGGAATGAGACCACCTGGGTTCTAGCTGCAGCTCCACTGTTAACCAGCCAGGCAGCTTGTCAAGTGGGCTTCTGACTTGCTATTTAGAAAATAAGTCAGATGGACACAGTAGTCCCAAAGGATCTTTCCAGATTCCATGTTGATGGGTTTCTCTGCACAGCGCTATGTGCTATCCTAAAACCACATGCCATTATGTAGCTTGACCACACCCACTTTGAATATGCCTGGTGCCACCAATTCTGTCCTAATTCCTTTCCAACCAGACTCTGTACCCACAACTCCTGAACTCCTGGTTTCAAAGCTTTGTTCTTTTCCCAAACTTCATCTTGCTGTATCAGAAGAATTTTTAATATAGTGACCACCACCCACTCCTAGTAACTAACATTTCTTGCACTTGGTTTCCAGGATGTGATTCTGTCATGGTTTTTGTTTTGTCTTCCTAAACTCTCCTTTTCAGATTCCTTTGCCTGTTTCTCCTCATCTGTGGGACTGCTTATTGTTGATAGCATCTCAAGGCTTAATCCCTAGATCTTTCTCTCTGCATAAACTCTTGGATGTCCTGATGACCTCACCCAGTGTCAAGACTTAAAACATCATAGAAACACTGACAGCTTCCAAGGTTCCATCTCCAATCCTGTGTCCCTGACTTACGGCTTTCATGTCCAGTTTCCTTCTCAGCATTTCCACCTGGCCATCTAGTAGGCGTCTGAAACTTAATGTTACCAAAACTAAATTCCTAATTCTTTCCCTAAACTTGCTTCTTCTATAGCCCTGCCCTTGTTAACAAACGGCAACACTATTCCTCCAGCTGATGAGGATTCGCCTTGCTTCTCTTCCTTTGTCACACACCCTGTCCAGTCCTCACCACATTTCCAACATCCTGCCCCATCTCAATCACCACGTACCTGCACCTGTGTTTTTATAGCCACCTCCTAACTGATTTTCTTTCCCTCCAGTGCCTCCCCGGAGTCAGTTCTGGCGTTTTCTCTCTTGTATTTTCCTCTAGGTAAATGCAAACTTGCCCTCTCACCTCCTTGTGGTCTCTGAGCAAATGTTCTTTATCAAGGATGCTTTCACAGACCTCCTTCTACCCCAGAACTTCTATTTGCCCTGTCTTGCTTTGTTGCCTTTGTAACATTTACCACTACTGTATTTATATCTGTCTGGTTGTTTACTGTCAGATTCCAGCTAGAATCTACAAGCTCAGGAATTTCCTGATTTGTTTGCTTCAGTAGTTACAATTCTTAGAACAGTGTGACTCAGTAAATACATCTGCTGACTCCATTCCTAGTCCTCCATTCTATCCTAAACCCTTTCCAATGAATGAATAAAAACTGGCACAAAGAAACAACAGAATATGTTGCTTCCCAATTGAGGTTAATCATTCTAAATCAGAGTAATATGAGAGATTATCTCAGCTATGGTTCCAAGGACTGGGAAAAGCAGACACTCTGTGTGTGTGTGTGTGTGTGTGTGTGTGTGTGTGTGTAAATGTGTGTGTGTGTGTGTGTAAATGTGTGTGTGCCTGAGACCTCTTGGCACTTCATATTTTAAGCAGTAACCTGTACCAGAGTGTTCAATGTGCTGGACATCCAGAATTCCATCTCCGTATCCAGTTGATTTATAAAGACAATATTATACTATGTCTATAAATATATAAATGAAAACTTCTCATTCTGTCCTCAGTGTCTTCTATTTTTACCGTCCCAAATGTGAGATTGCAACCAGAAGCTGGAGAGAGCATGCGGGCCTTTGGGAAAAACAATAGTTACAGCAAAAGTCTATCAAACAGCAAGCACTGACAAGCACAGTATTCTCAAGAGTGCACAGGTAAGGTGACATCCTTTATCTGGAAAGTAGTGTTTAATACATATTGAATAGATCTTTAAATAAAACATTTCAAACTTGCTTCTTCCACCCCTAAAACTATCTTCTGTGCCTTTTGGGTTTATTATGGCATTTGTGAGCCAATTTCTGAGACAGTTGGTTATGTCTACATTGCAGGTACCTACTGGCTTCTAGCCGGAGTTATATTTATGTTGCACTTCAGTTATGTGGCCATAAACAAACCATTTGAGTCATAAACAGATCATCTTAACGGCTCACATACGCTTCCTTGAGATTAGAGAAAATTTCCTTGTGGGCTATGTATCTGCTACAGACCTGCTTTGTATGGCCCACACAATTTTTTAAAAAAATTAGTTGCTCTTATTTTAAAATTGGGAGATTTTTACACAAAAAGGTCTATAGATTTCTAGATTTTCCTAAAAGGTCAGCAACTCTAGCAATAACGCACTCTGCTTCTCACCAGGAGGTTTTCTGTGTGACTGTGGCTGCCTCTTTTGGCAGGGACAGTGACCTCCCTGTTTAGTTTAGCTCAGCTGCCATGTGAACATGTCACTGTTTCTAATTTCTGCCTGGCCCATGACACAAACCTTATTATGACTAGGCTTATCTTTATCACTAATTGATTCTTTGACCACTCCTGTTTGGGAGATAGGAAGCATAATCTAAACATGACAATGTCTAGGCATGTTGGCCAGTCCCATTCGTCATATGTGCTGCGTGGTAACAAGTCAAGATGCCAACTTGTGAGAAGACTGTTTCTTCCCACACAGGGAAGACTTGTTAGACTATTTCCTGCGGAGAAGTACACACTGGTACCTTGTTCCTGGGAATGTCCAGTAGTTAACTGTGGAAGTAAAGCAAGAGACATACACAGTGTTGCAGGAGCCGTTCTTTCTAATTTGAAGTACGTTAAGCTAAATTGACAGTGTAGCAGAGTCACCAAATTAAACTTCACATTTCCTGTGGATCACTTGTGGGTGAATTATTTCAAGACTTAACTTTGTGTACTGTCTACATGGTGACCTATTTTGGCTTCTCTGGGGTATAGTGATGATTTCTGAATAATTTGAAGACAAAAGATTTTTTGTCAGGTAGCTATAATATGTAAATGTAAGTCAGAAGATGTTACTATTAAACTTGCTACTCCCCCAGTAAGAGTGGGATTCTTCTTTCTTCAGGTTATTTCTCCTTATACAGAACTCCTGGGTACAGAACTACCTACAAACACAACTTTATGGAGTAGTGTCTGGGCTCCCACTCTGAATTTCAGCTGGACAAATAGTAGGGCTGAGTTTTTCACCAGCTACCTCCTGGTTAAAAGAATGATTTTGATTAATGAAGGTTGTACCGTATGCTTTTTAAAAGTATTTAACCTACATTATCATAGTCAAGGCCCCTGGCTTTATAAATCCTTTAGTCAATTCATAGCACAAAACAACAAAAAGTAGACTTTCTGTGTACAGCTAACCAGCTAACTCATAGACCACACACACACACACACACACACACACACACACACACGCACACACAGAGGCCTGAATATCAATCACAGGGCCATGTCCTTTCTTCTTGACTCTTTCTGAACTCTGGACCTGAACCTGACCAATCGAAGCAGCTATGGGCTTGTTTTAAGTCAGCTCATCCTTGTAAAATAAAACCAAGTTTACTGGACAGAGCATTGCTCAAAAAGTCTCAAAAACTACTAATTGAAAAGATGTTTTTCAAAGGTGCTGAGAGGTGCAGTCATCAGTATTTGAAAGCCTTTATAATTTCAAATTTGGTGGGGTTTTTCGACAGTCTGTTTTTCAAACTAGATCAAGGGTTATATTGACACAGTGGAAGCTTTTTTTCATTAGAATTACTTGAATACAATACAGATATTTTCATCATCAGTTTTGTCTTTTTTTAAGTCAACTTTTAAAGCTTGAATATTATTATTGTTCCAAATCTAAACACCTCAGCTTGATTCTACATGATACTGAGGAAACATCTCAATTTTTTGCTTTTCAGGAAAGCTGCAGAAGAACTAGATTCTAACAGTTTTCCATCAGTTTGCAGAAAAAGAAATCATTTTAATGTCTATCTTTGCCAGGTTTATTTTTTTAATTTTAATCAAATGCAGCAATCTTGGAGATCAAGTAATACTGTCTCTTTATGAGTTTCATATATCATCTGCAATGACCCTACTCCAAGCAATAGCTCAGCGTCAAATTATAGATAGTTTAAAGCAAAAAGCCTACCCAAATAAGGTATCTTTCACAAGAAATATGTAATTCTCGAGACTAAATATTTTCTTGTTGTTGAGCTCATCAACTGTTTAGTGAAAACTGGCATCTTATATTTTCCTTAAATGTCCTAGTTCTTTATAAAACCCAGAGATTGGGAAGGGGAGAAGAGATGAAGAGATCCAGGACTCAGAGACTAGCATTTTAATCATCTGTCTCTGGGGAAGGACAGGGAAAATAAGTGTGGAAAGTGTAGAAAGTAAACTACATCACTCTATCATTGAAAGGATAGGGAGACAAGCAAAATGGGGTATTTCAAATCCTTTTTTCCCACATCTCATTGCTACATTATTTCTTTGCTTATATGTGAAGGTCACTTCAATTATTTAATTAACAATGCTGGATTTGCATAAGGTACATTTTGCTTTGTAGACAGAGCAATTTTAGTTTTAGAATCTTGTAACAAAATTAAATCAAAAGAAAACCACAAGCACCTAAGTTAAAAATGGGATAGTTTCCACTGTTGATCAAAATACTGTGGCTGCCCCCTTTTGTTGCCCTGTAAAGATACTAAAAGACTAAGTATTTCGTAGATTGCTCCCACTTATTTTATTGTCACTGAGGAGAATGACTCTTCAGAAGTCTGAGAAAGCCTTCAATGAAATTCAAGGAATTTCCCCCAAGGGCAAGCCCAGAAGCTGCATGGAATACAACACCCACTGGTGTTGCTTATATTTTCACTAGTGATGCCCAGAGGCCCCCGTGCTGAGCTCAGTTTCCAGTCATTCTAAGCTGATACAAGAGGTGCACGGTTACTGTCTACTTCTCCTTTCTTGCCTGCAAAGGATAAAGATGCCCACACTTGTTCAGGCATCTGTTTTGTTACTGTTCTGACATAGTATGTGCTCATTATGGAATATCTCTTTTCAATGAATTAGTTGTTCTTCAACCCCATTAAATTCATAGGGTATTTGTGAATATCTGTCTAGGGCATGAAAGAATTGTATTTGCTTCAAGGGCAGGAGGTTAACTACTTTGTTTACTCTTTCCTTCCCCTTTAGTATATTCTCTCCACTAGTTCCTGTTGTTTAAGGCTTAGTGAAAAATGGTCTGATTCTGCCCGCTTGGCTCAGTCATCGAGCAGTAATTTCCTACAAGCAGTCAGGTAAAGGAACTAGAATGCATTGATTGCTGGAGAAATTTTAAGTAAGATGAAAACTTTTTTTAGGAATCAGATTCTGGACAAAACTGAGTGCACTGGTGCTTCAGACTGTCTGGCATCGCCCTCTGGAGGTGTGGAGGACCAGGGCTGTCACACTGGAGCAAGGGACCTCCACCTGGTTCCTCAGATGCAGTTCCTAGTGCCCATGAATTTGCATCTTAAAGAACTCCAAGGGGTGTTGATGCAGGTAGCAGCGTTTGAACCACAGATAATGAAATCTTTAGTAGATCTATAGGAATTATATATTTATGAAGTAGAATGATCAACTTGTTTGAATCAGGATAGGATAAAGACAATCTAGGAAATAATGCTCTATCACATATAAGAAAGCATTGTTGTTACTCTTCCTCCTTCCCTCCTTTCCTCTCTCGCTTCAGCCCTTCCTTCCTTCTTTCCTTTAAGAATGAATAGAGTTGTGCTTACCACCATTAGCAGTGTATGCCTAGCTAAATTTTTAAATTTGAATTTTTAATTAACTTTAAGGAAACTAAAGCTTCCTCACTAGTAGTGTCATGTTTCAAGTGCTCAGTAGCATCCCGTAGTTGGGAACCCCTTTTAGACAGGGCATATTTAGATCATTTCTAAATATGTTCTGAAATTTCTAAATATGTTCATGGGTGATGAAGAGTGTTTTCTCACCCTCCTTTGAAAAGAGGCATCAGGAAAAATAACCTGACCTCATGAAATAAACATGTATTTTAGTCCTAGATGGTAACCACTGTAGGCATTCCACAGTGTGTGAGGAGGAAAATGTTCAGGTGAAGACAGAGGCAGGCCAGGCGAGAGGGATGGAGACTGATCCACTGAGAAGGACAGAAAGGAACACACCTTGCCCACTGCTTGCAGGACCGGAGGATCTGGGGAATTTGGCCTTGGGATTTTTTAGGAGAAAGCAACACAGCCAGGCTCCCTCAGTGAACAGGCTGTGAATGGAAGAGCAGCTAAGTAGTTGCACAGACAGTCTTCACAGAGACCAGCATGTCAGTTGTGATCCAACAGTACTTTGTCGGCCATCTCAACTCGGGAAACTGCTTCTGGAGAAGCAGACACCTATTGCCCTCTTCCACGCTGTGACTTTATGGTGGCTCACTTTTCCTGCTTTGCCTCAACTCACATAGCTTTCATATCTTCCTTCACTTTGTGGCTTCTGCTGACTTGTTTCTGCTTATTCGTGAGCCTGGCTCTTTGTCCTCATACTTCTGGTGCAGTCTACTGCTGAGCTCGTGTTGCTTTAGATTCAAACCTTCCCAGAAATCAGCTCTTATTGGGGAAACCATCCATCATCGAGTAGAGAGCAAGACTGTTATGTCAGTCACCGCTACGGGAGCTGCTGGCTGCTCCGAGCCCTGTTCAGTCAGCTGAGCCTCTGGGAACTGAGTGGACAGTCATTCCGAAGGGAGGCCCCAGAAGAAGGCTCTAGGCTAAGCCCCATGGAAGCACCTGTGAAGCAGACAGGCTGGGTAGCTGGAAAGTACCTTGCCAGGCCTGTGTACTGTAACGTACAAATCAATCCAGAGGGAAATTCTGTTTAGCAT